TTGTGCCAGAAGGTCCCTGGGGACTGAGTGCCCAGCATGGCATTCTCTTGGTTGCCAGCTGGTCAGGGCAGGCAGCTGTGGATGCCATTTGGCTCCCAGTGTCTCTACCAGTAAGAGTTGGACCAAGAGGTCCTCAAATTCAACTGCGGCTAGCTCTCTACTTACTAGTGGGACCAGCTGATGGACCCTGGGACCTGCAAACACTCCTCACTGTCATTCTTGTGTAAGGGTCAGGAAGTGTAGCAGTTACAATCTAGGTCATGATGGTAACCAGCAGCCATTAATTTCTGATTTCCCTCGATTGCCGGTGTGCTTTTAAAAAGGCACAAATTCTTCCAGCAAAATTGTCAAGGTCTCATTTGTTTCTTCTCCCCCTTTGTTTTCCTGTTCCTTCTCTCTCCTAGTTATATTTTCTTGCTTTGTCTCTCTCTCTTTCTACTAGTGCTTGCCACAGATATTTATTAGACTGGAATTTGTTTGTTAAACACACCATGGCTTTTTAAATTTTTTTTAACGTATATTTATTTTTGAGACAGAGAGGGACAGAGCATGAGCAGGGGAGGGGCAGAGAGAGAGGGAGACACAGCATCCGAAGCAGGCTCCAGGCTCTGAGCTGTCAGCATAAAGCCCGACACGAGGCTCAGACTCACAAACTGTGAGATCATGACCTGAGCTGAAGTCGGGCACTCAGCCGACTGAGCCACCCAGGTGCCCCTTACGTGCATGGTTTTTGAATCCAGCCAGAAATGATAATTTAATCAGGTAGTCTGAGTAATGGTATGTTGAGCAAGAAGGATGGAAGGATAGAATCAAAATGAAATCTTGCTTTGAATTGTGCTTCCTACTATGTTCTTAGAGCTTACTTGGTAAGGGGAGCCTGTTCTTTGCCCCTGGACGAGGACAAGGGCAGCCTGTGTGCGGGGTTCCCTCCATTGGCCACTCCAGACCCACTCACCAAGCAGACTTGTATGGGCCACATCAATATGCTGTGTGCCCTCTGGATTCTGGTTGCACTTGGGCAATGGAGAGCTCCAGCAGGAAACTGGAGGAAGGGAAGAGAACAAGGTCAGGAATTTAATCTCCTGCCTCTCTCCAGGTCAACTCATATGGCTGCGTCCCTTGATGGAAGGGTGACCCTCCCTATGTGGTCTGCTTTTCACAGCTCTCTTTCCCTTGAGAAAATGCCCTCCCTGCATCCCTGTGGGTCAAGGCTATGGATATGGGTTCCTGGGCCCTTGAGGATCTCTGCTACATGCTGTCTCTACCTTTCTCATTTGACACTTTGTAAAGACAAAGTGTAAAGACACTTTGTAAAGACACTTTGTAAAGAAACCCTCCCATATTATTGCAGTTTGAGTGTAACTCTCTTAGGGAGTAAATAATTATGCAGCTACTTCAGTTATAAACGGAATCTGTGACAGAAAATGGTAGTATCCAGTCCAAGATATTAATCTAGACTGTAGTCTTTGCTCGAGGGTAAGAGTTATTATCTTCCTCCCCGAGGTGGGATTTGTTGGCAGACACCTGCCCCTAGTGCGGCTGGTTCTGCGTTCTTTCTCTTCTTACCTGCTCCCTGCTATTTCCATTCCTAGGCTGAAATGGGGGACAGAGGGGGCAAAACAGTTTTCACTTGAATGGGTTCCATCATAACCTGGTTTTGCACCCTCTGGCCTGGCATGGTTAGAAGCAACTCCCCCCCTAGCCCCCCAGAAACCCCCTGCACTCCCACCTGCAGCTGCCCACCCACGACCCAGGAAGGTCTCCCCTCGGGCTGGTCCTCCAGGGTCCCTTTCACGCTGGGATGCTCACTGCTGGAGAGTCTTCAACCTTACAGGTTATCTTGGGCAGAATTTAAGACTCTAGGTGGCCTTCCCACCAGCAAAGTCCGTATCTGCTTGACAACCTGTCTGGCTCATCTCTGTTGTGCCACCAAAACAGCTCGACAGCCCGACTCTCCCGCCCGCCACCGGATCCCCAAACACCTGGGAGCCCGCGGGCCCTGCAAATGGTTCCTCAGTGTCTCCTCTCAGCCAGATGGAGGCAACGGGGGCAGATACCCTCCACCTTCTCTAGTGGGGAGAAGTGGAGCTCACAGCCCAGCCCGTCTCCAAAGAAATCCTTCTTATGACGTCATCTTGGTCACTATTTTCTCTAGTCCTTAATCTCGATGAAATGTGGGAAGAGGCGTAAGGGCAGGAGGGAATTAATTTTCCAACATCCACTCTGAAGGATCCTTCCAGGAAGAGAGGCAATTTCTTCTCTCACACCTCTTGGGACGTCATTTTTACTGCATCTTGGAGTCTCAGTCAAAGTCTTCATCTTGACATACTGTGTCAGACTGTGACGTACATTTTGAATTGCTGGATAGAACAAAACAGTTCCAACTGGCTTCTACAATAAGGAGAATGTGTTGGTTCGTGTAACGGAAAGAGTTCGGAGGTTGGGGGCTCAGTTTCTCGTTGATTCTCTCAGTTCCCCCCTTCTCTGTGTTTTCAAGACGACTGCCTGAAGCACTCTGGGTATGTGCTTCTTTGTCCACATCCAGACAACAAGGAGGACATCCCTTCCCTTAACCACTGAACAAGAGTCTTGAGGTTTACTCTGGTCAAAACTTGACAGCTCAGGTTCAGTTGTTAACCTGAGCCAATCCTTATCACCAGGGGCGCCTAATGTGCTGACTGGCTTAAGTCTTGGGTGGGAGCCATCACTGCACCAAGACCGGAAGAGAGGTGGCTTACCCTCATTGGGTTAAACCTCTGGGGATCCATTCCTGGAACTGGGGGTGACAGTAGGGGACGTGAAACTTGTCCTCAACACCTTATGCAAATCTCCTGGCTGTATAAGTAAGAGGAAGGTTTGGAATGGTTGTTCAGGAAACCTCTGCCCCACCCAGTCCAAGGTCATCTTACTCGAGCATCTGATTTTGTCCCCATGTAAGATATGGTTTTGTGGGAATCTAAATATTTTGTACTCATAATACAGACATAATTGTGACTACGAGAGGGGTTCATTTTGCATTGGGGCTGACTTCTCCATTAGGCACAGGGCCCAAGGCCCATGATATTTTTACCGCCCCATAGAAATGTTTTACTTTCTTTTAAAATCAGAAGAAAAAAAGGAACTTTTAGGTTAAAGAAAATGTTTTAATATACAATATTTATATATTCACCTTAGTAGCAATACAGCTGTAAAATGTAATTTGATTATTATTATTATTATTATTATTATTATTATTATTAGGGGATTGGGCCTAAAAGTGCACTGGTGAGAACCTGCTCAGGCAGCCACGCTGTGCATTCCTTCTTTACTGGGCTCTCCCACCATAGAATTTAAGTGTTGCTAATAAGAACCCAAAGCCTGAGGCAAGGGGATCATTCCTTTGAATTCCAAGGTTACTACCCATTTGCTTAAAGAACAGATGTGGGTTGAATCACTGTTGTACCAGATCTGTTATTGTGCTTGAAAACAGCAGTCCAGGGAGGTCAGGCTTGCTTGCACAAAAAAAAAAAAAAAAAAAAGAAAAGAAAAGAAAAGAAAAAGAAAAAAAAAATAGAAGGAGGGAGGGCAATTTTCCTCCCATTGGAGGCTAATTAACATGGCCATGGTACACTAGGGTTAAAGCACTTTCAAGCCTATCATATCACTTGATCCCGTTAACAATCCCCAGGGGGTACTGCCCCATTTAACCCATAAAGAATCAGACTCAGGGAAGGAAAATTGCCTTTCCATAGTTTGCTACATGGTTACTATTTAATGGAGGGTTAGGTCAGACTGCCAATTCTGACTCCAAAGCTTTTGCTTTTGCTGGTGCCCAGAGGCAACTACATTGGAAGTAAAATTTATGTAAACAGTTTAGCAGACCAAGTGAAGTGGGCAGTGTCTTAGGGTATAGGAGAGTCCCAGGAGCTGATCTAGTCTTTGGTGGGAACCGTTTCTCCTACATGCTGCAAAGTTGTCCATGATGCAGCTGTCCCTTCGCCACCACCCTTTCCTGCCCTGACGTGGTCCTTTCAAGTCTGGCTTTTGGTGAATAGCTGAGGAAGTCTGTCCTTACCATCCATAAGGGATGCCCCCTCCATGCAAGGGGCTAATGGCTGGCTCCCGGAACCAGTCAACAATCACTTCCAAACTTTCCATTAACACTGCTGCTGTTCACACTCGCTTCTCCAGCTTTTTCCTTGCATTGCTAACCTGAGTGATCCAGAGCCCTTTCCAGGGTCTCATTCCAGCAAAAACAGTGCACAAAAGCAACCTGAGAAGGTGGCTTCCCAACAACCCCTCTTTCTCCACTTCGAGGAAACGAGACAGACTAGAGCAGTGGCAATCAAAAGTGGAGCTGGCAATACTGACAGCACGGTCATCGCCTAGGAGCTTGTTACAAAGGCAAATTCTTGGGCCCAACGGACCTTCTGAACTAGATCCTGAACTAGATCCTGAACTAGATCCGAGAAGACAGGGCCTGGAAAGTTGTGTTTTAATCAGCTCCCAGGTAACTCTTACGCACGCTAAAATTTAAAAGGCTGTAGCACGGAGGGTGGGGGAATGAGGCCGTACAAAGCAAGAGTGTGTCCCAACTCTCTCTCTCTCTGGGTGGAGTGTGTGGGGAGGCATATTCACTTTAGTAACCACTGTGAAAGTCTCAGTGAAGGGTTGGTAATTTAGTTTGGGACCTGTAAATTTCTCAAAGACACCGCCCCTCCTAGGTAAGGGGCTCAACACCCTTACCCAAGTAGACCAGCCGCCAGATCTCTAGCAGCCTCAATTTCCTAAAAGCTGGAAAAGCAGCCTCAACTTCCTCAAGCTGTTCTGCAGCGAAGAACAGCCGCCTTGGAGCAGTCCGACAAGGAGCAGGCGCACCAGCAGGTTGCCAGCCGTGTCTTCTCCCTTAGGTTCCGCCCCTCAGCCACGGCCCCCTTCCGGTCTCTGCGGCCTGGCCCCGCCCCGCGCAGGCGCTTGGGCGCTTTTCCCGTGGCGCTCCGCGGCGCGGGCGATTTGGAAGAATGGCGGGCAGTTGGTCGCCGGGTTGCAAAGGTTGCTCTTCTACTAGCTGTACGTGTGGCGGCGACAAGGGCAAGTGGGGCGACTCCTCCCTGTTAGGCAGGCGGCTCTCGGAGGACTCGGACCGTCACCAGCTGCTGCAGAAGTGGGCCAGCATTTGGACCTCCTTGAGCGGGGACCCGTCGGTGGCCTGTGCAGAGAGGACGCGGCGCGAGGAGGCTGTGGAGCCGGCCGAGGAGGAGGACAGGCCGCTGGTGTTTCTGTGCTCCGGCTGCCGGCGACCGCTGGGCGACTCCTTGAGCTGGGTGACGAGCCAGGAGGACACCAACTGCATCTTGTTGCGCTGTCAGTTGCCGCGCCGGGCAGGGGG